GTAAATTTTGATTTAAACCACTCTATTTCACAAAATAATCTGTTGTCAAATTATTTTTAAAAAATATTAGAGGTTTCGGGGTTTCAAATGAACACTTTTTTTATTTTGTCCAAACTAATAGTTATGGAAATAAAAATGCTAGAAAGTTAATTTTCGTATGTGTGAGCCACTGTATCTTGATTTCCAGTGATCCGATTCGAACAAAAATAATACCATTTGATTCGTCTAGTCAAGACGAATCGGATGGAGTTCGAGACATCACGTCCTAAATTGGTAGACTCATTTTTGTTAATATCAAAAAAAAATGAATCTGCTACTTTAGGATGCAATATTTCGACATCCAGGGATCCGATTTGAACAAAAATGCTATTGTTCGATTCGCCTCGACTAGGCGAATCGAATAGTAATATTTTTGTTCAAATCGGATCCCTGGATGTTAAGAATTAGCTTATCGGATATGGAGATGTGTGTTATAAATGACTGATTATATTTTGGATGCGAAAGTTTATGAACATACAATACCTGATATAGAAGCTCATAAAAGGTATCAATGATCAGCGTTTGTAATGTTCTTTGTGCTCAGATCATTACACATAATTTTCGGAAAGTTATCAGGGTCAGTTACTATCCATCTTTTGAGATGGTCATGAATTCGGTAAGCCCAATCAGTGGGTTTTCACCAGACTGAGGGTGTCTCCAATCCACGTTTGATAGGCTGATATGATAAATGCAATTCTATTTTATTTGCTCGCAATGATACAAAGGTAAAATATAAATATGATGCGCTATATACAGGTCATGAAGCTAAAAAAAATAAACGCATAACATCAATCGCTTATTAATTTCCCATTAGCAGGTGATTATCACAAGAGGGTGGTATGCCATTATTGTTTCCTCCGGAAACACTTAACGTAGTTGAGCTCGTACTAAATTGCCACTAGTAATACTGCAATACTGGCATTGCCCGCATTTGTATTCCATTACTTTCTAAACTCGGAGAAGTCCTTGCCGAAGTTGGATCCGAACTGAAAAAGCGGCTCGACTTCTTTAACTAGAAAAGATGATTCCCGACTTAGACCAGAAAAAATCAATTATAGTAAACTATTAAATTATTAAGTAAAGGAGATTTCATCGTCGTGTTCATCATAGTATTTAGTTGGGTAATGAAGATTTTTCGCCGAGGAAAGTTTTTCGAGAGCTTTTACACCGCCCCACTGTAGAATTCGTTTCATATTCTCAGTTTTGACTGCGAGATTCCAGCGCTTCTCCGCAAAATTCATCACAGCTTGTTGCAACGTCGCATGTTCAAATTTCCACGCTAAAGAATACAAGTGATCCCAGTTATCATCGTTTGCGTAATGGAGCAGGGGGCTGATCAGTGCTTCAGAAAGCGAAGTTAGGAGTCTCAAGTGAGCCTGCTCATACAGCTCTACTAAGGTTTCATTAGATAATCCTTCTTTCAATTTGTTCGTGTAAAGATAATAGATGAGGGCATAAAATGTCTCGTATGAAACCTCTTTAATGGCAATCGTATCGGAATCTGCTTCATTCCAAAGTCCCATAAACATTTTATTGAAATATTCGGATCGTTTGGAAAGGATCAGGCGGTGGGCGTGAATCTTTTCACCTTGAGGAAAGGTGAATGTAATATCGGAAAATTCTTTCTGATCGATCCATTCATCATCCCCATGGGTGATGCCTGAAAATGAAGAAAAAGTTTCTTGGGGTTTCTGAACAGTCACTTTAACCATTAAATCAACTTCGGCTGTTTGGTCATTATGCGGCCAAATACTTTCGACTTTCAAGAGCTCACCGAACCCCCAGCTCTTAGTTCCAGAATAATCAAAAGATTGATGAGGGCAGTCTTGTTGAGCAAGCATGGTCCATTTTTTTTCTTTCGATTCGGGTGTGGTCGGTAGGTCCAATCGATATACAATGAAATCAAATCCGAGCTCTCGTGTTTTCAACTCTTCTTTTTGTTCGTCCACGGTCTTAAACGCCTCAAGAAAGAACCCTATTGCATTTGAGACACGAGTTGTTTTGGGATCGAGAATGATACGCCAAGCGTATGGCAAATGATTGCGGGAGTTAGAGGGAGAATAAAAAGTATCACTAAAGAATTGTTGACCAATAGTCGCCTTCTTGTAGAGTTTCTCGAAATGGAAGAGTTTCCACATGTATGACATAGTGAATATAGTCCTTGGCAGTTTAAGTCGTTTGCTGCGACAACGGTGTTAAAGATACATAGTCATATATTATACACGAACCAAGTATAGAAATAACTATCGTTATCGCTATAGAAAAGGTAAAACGATAAAAAGGGAGTATGGTAATACATCATTCAAGGAACATCTACATAGAAGTTTACTTCCAAATTAGTTAAGCGTTATTTTTTTTGTAACGGTAACTATTTCCTATATGAAAAATAACTTGAACAATTGCAAGTTATATTTATACATATAGAACATTAAATGTATATGATACACTATTTTCAAAGTTTATTTCAAACTGCCATCTGTACGGAAAGAATTGCCAATGGATAATAACGATGATTTATGTGGTTTTAAACATTCATGGAAGATTGAACATTTCGAACACCTTTTAACGCAAGTGGTCGGCCTAAAATTTTATTCCGAAGTCTTTTTCTCCCCTGGAGTCAAGATCTCAGACCCTTCATTTCCTTGGCGTCTTTTGGTCACACCGAAACTTGAATGGAGTCTAAATACCATTAATGTGTACCTAGAAGCTATACAGTCCCCGGCTGAAGTAAAAAACAATACTCAAATTCGTCGAATGCAATTCCAAATTAAGGTTTTTAGGGTAGATTCCGAACGAGAGGGAGACAAAGAGCGTAAAAATTTAACTTTACTCGGCTCAACACTAAAAAGATCTCAAAACTTCATGTTCGACCAGCACACCACTGGCGCTGGGAAAACTGATATTTGTCGACATGATATGATTTGGCCGACCAAAGATTATACTGCTCGAGCGGATTTAGTCATCCAAGCGATCATCGCTCATCTAGAGGAAGAAGACCACTCAAGTGATGATGACATGGCATTTTTTACCAGCGGACGTTTTGCAGATATTACCTTTACCTTTTCTACTGGCGAAAAGATCCCTGCGCACCGTCTCGTTCTTGCAAAAGGGTCTGAATATTTTAAAAATAAACTCAAGAATGAATGGGCAAGCCCCAAGAATACGATTGAAATAACCGATATTGATTATGAAACTTTTTATGCTCTTTTACACTATATATACTCTAATAAAATTAAACCAGAATTATCCAAAGAGGTTTTAGAAACACTGCACTCTGAAGCTCGCATGCGTTCCATGACGAGTCTCTCAGCAGCCGTGGTCGAAATATTGTTCACGGATGTCTCCTTCGATAATTGGCATGATTACTATCGCAGGGCTTGGACGTGCAATGATTCATTTTTTCAAAGACTTGTGCTAAATTACGCAATTGATAATTGGGACGAAACTGTCACGGATGAAACTATGAAAAAGATTCTTGACTGGGGCGGTTCAAAACCGGTCGACAAGCTATTCATGGCAAAGAATTTAGGAGTATATGCGATGGAGCAGTTTTATGTTTGAGGTTACATTATTTCTAGGAGGATGGTGATTATTCTAGGATAGTTTATATACATGATAAAATGGCAAGCATTATTTTCTCGTTCTAGGCATAGGCATTTAAAGATCAGAGTGACCAAAAGCTCTATTTTCTTTTTGAGTGTAAATTTTTGTGGAAACTTTATAAGGTCCATAAATATAATAATATTGTCATTGTATTATGGATGTTAACTAAGCTCGATTTCGTACATGTATTAAGGGTTTGATGAAATGCTAAAATGCTGTAATTCAAGAATTTCGACGGCAACAGTAAGCTGATTACAGTAGAGTATTAGAACAAGACTCCAGTTAACTTCCCCACTCCAGCAACCACTGTCTGCCCGAAGATGTTGAGATGTCCCAATGAGGCAGACTCGGACAGCTTCTTTTTTCTCGTCAAATATACTCCAAAGTTAAATAACAGCCGGTGACCGTTTTCGGTCTGAATGTAATAGAAAAGGAATAAAGCGAGGAAAAGTTATCGTAAAATTGCGGATATTGACGTGGACCCCAGATTCCTTTTGCTCAGTTAAGATCAAACCAAAGAAGAATATTCTTACCTCGAACACGTCTAAGGCAGCCTGCGCGTTGACACCGAGCGCGAGGTCTTCAAGTTCGGCAAGTATTCATCGTACTCAGTTTGACAACTGTATGAGAAAGAGGCTTGCGTTTCTCTCTGCACAAAAGGTTGTTGCGACTAATTTGGAGTATGATCTTCAAAACCACTTTTCGGTCGCACCTCACATCCAGAGAGTAAAAAATTCTTGAACTTGCGTACATTCACAAAAGTTTACGCTCACCTGTGTATAGCGATAGATGGAAACACAATAAGTCATTAACTATTAAACAAATGTTTCAACGGCCCGATGTGATTTGTATTTTTTTAACACATAATCAGCCTCGATAACATTCCATAAAATTTGCTAAAGGAACTAAATCTAATGCACGCGGAACTGTTTCTTGCAAACCTTTCCATGCATAATTGCAAATGCTGCCAGGTATAACGTTTCGCACAGTATAGAATTTTGGCGTAGCAATTGTAATTCCAGCTGGAATTATATGTTTCAAATCCTTCTCTACTTTAGAAAATACTTTGATAAATTTTTATTGTGGTTCCAAACGGATTTTGAATTATCATTACAAGTCCTAAATTCTAATTTGGAAATTTGATTGAGGATCATTGGTTCTAATACAAAACGAACTGTAAGCGGAGATTAGCAATTAAGGGTTCTATCCTATTTAATTCACTTTATTTTCCTTGGCGCCTCCTGTTACAATACACTTTATAGTGGAGACTAATTAAAATAGTGGAAATTAGCTATAATACGTAATGATAAGTGATGCGTCATAATGAAACCACACGTGGGATCACCTGATATAACACATGTCACGTTCCGTGTTTTGGATGGGGAAGATGTAACGATTCACAAATTGGAAACGGGCTTAGTTCAGAAAAATTTTCAGGAACATCTAGATGTAAATAATCTTTTTTCTCGAATAACTGTTTGGGTATAGTCTATTTTCTTGTACGATTTTTTATAAGCCTCTAGACTTTCGTAGTTTTTTCACTTAATATTTTTTACGTGTTTGTCGTTTTGTATATATTGATTGTATTAAGCATAAAATATGAGTCCAGATAATAAAGGAATAAAAGTGACCAATTGGGCTGGTGTAGCTAATGCACCTTTCCCAGCTGAGGGGGCGGGTAATCAAACTTTTAGCAACTTACAATTGATAAGTATAGTTGCTGGTGTCCCCTCGTTTGTACTTCTTTATTTTAATTTTAGCATATGGACTTTTCCTCTCCTCTTGGTACTGGTTGGTTTACCCTGTTTTGCAGGGTTTTTTGTACTCAATTCGAAGTTTGCCACACCATGGAACAATAAAGTCCAGCATCCAAATCGAAAACTCGAAGAATATATTATCATCAAAGATCCCACGTTAGCCGGCTATCAAGGTCGAAACAAAATTCCGATGGAAATTTTCTTTGAGAATTATTTTGATGGTAAAATAGATCTTAATGGAGATGCATTAGAAATTATGGAAGCACGACACGATTGGGCGTCATTTGAATTTGGATTCGGCCAACTGAAATTCTTTTTAACGCAATGGATTCCCGAAACTATCTGGCATTCAAAGAAACAAGATGAAGATCAAGTGAGAGATCATTATGATCGTGGTGATGATTTCTATGAGGCGTTTTTAGGACCACGTATGATTTATACAGCGGGAATTGTTTCTGATCCGGCGAGATGTGAAACACTTGAGGAGCTACAAGATAATAAACTTCGTTTGGTTTGTGAAAAGGTTCATTTGAAGAAGGGAGATCGATTATTGGATATTGGATGTGGATGGGGAACTTTGGTTGCTCACGCGGCAAAGAATTTTGATGTTGATGCCACCGGTGTTACCCTTGGTATCAAGCAAACCGCATACGCAAATAATCGTATTAAAGAGTATGGTGTTAAAAATCCAGAACAAGCGAGAGTTTTGTGTTTAGATTATCGTGATATTCCAGCTCAACCAAAATACGATAAAATCACGTGCCTTGAAATGGCAGAACATGTAGGGGTAAGATTATTTCATTCCTTCTTATTGCAAGTTAGGGATTTAATGGAGGATGATGGTCTTTTCTTTTTACAAATTGCTGGACTTCGTCGGTAAATCCTTTGTCTTCTAGTCTCTCCGGTTCTATTTTCAAGTCTCGATCTTTCTTCATTAACTAATATACTAATATAAATAGCACATGGCAATATGAAGATTTCATATGGGGTTTATTCATGGCAAAATATATCTTTCCCGGCGCTGATGCATCGTGTCCATTGTATTGGGTGATCAATCAATTGGAAACGGCCGGTTTCGAAGTTCAAGATGTCGATACTATTGGGGTTCATTATTCGGCGACTATTTGGCGCTGGTATCAAAACTGGTTGAAGAACAGAGACACCATAACTGCAAAATATGGAAAGAGGTGATTGATTACGGATCTTCATTATTATTGAATAGGCATTTTTGCTATTAACATTATTAATAATGTTTATTATTATTTTGATGATTCATATTCATATAGATGGTTTCGGTATGTTTTATCAATTACTCCGCGTAAAGATAATGAAATTAATCACGTCATAATGATTGATTACTAATAATTAATACATAATGTTAAAATAATAGCATCTGGGAAATTTTCCTCGCATGGTCAACAATCATCTCACGACAAGGAAGTGCCACGTGTTACCAAATTGTCGCCCACAAGAACTTGAACGCGTTTGATCGGGTCGCTGTGCTAAATAAGAGACTTACGAAATAATTTTAACGAAATAAAGAATAAAAATCCGTATATATAGGAATGTTTATTTACATGTAATTATTTAATTTTCTAAGTGAAGAAGAATCACAAATCTGTTTTAGCGAGTAATATTATCGATTGAAATACATGTGCATCGAGTTTCGTGCTATACTTTATCAATTAGAATATCCTTTTTCTGTTGTTACGCAGATCACCAAATTGGGCTGTGTAAAACTGGTTTCTTTTACCCCAACTTTAGTTATGTAGTAACGGTAATGGTAAGTAATAGTCAGATTTGTGTAATGAAAACCATCATCATTTCCATTGATAATCAATTACTATCCGCTATATTGGCAAAAGCTCATAGTTTGGATAACATCCCTACCCGTGACTTTGCAGAAAGAACGGATGTAATGACTTCAAAAAATTTTATTTATGATATTAAATGCCATTATATCAGCTAAATCTTATTAATTAATAGCGATAGGCCTACCATCTAATAAAATTTCCAGCCAAGTTTTGTTTCCAATCAAGTATCACTTTCATGAATTATGTGCAATAGATTATAGTGGCGAGTAAATAAATCCCAATTTTAATATCAATAGTTCATGGTAAATATCAGCGATAATAATTAATATAGTTTAAAGTATTGGATGGCTTTAGACTGCTTGCACTATGAATTTACTTAGTAGGAAGCAAACCAAATACGCTATGGTCCGAGAAGAAAATGATAATGGATGTTGCAATAGATCAAATGTATCAATACTGATTGCGGTAATCGAGTTTGGAAACAACAGCAGAAATGTATACGGTATTATGCGAATACTTTTTAATAAATAAAATGATATTGAGTTTTATATTAGAGGCTGAATTTACATCCAAGCTCGCTCCCGCGCTTTCATGCATAAACTTGATGCGTGACGGTGATGTGCACAAAAGCATAATTTTCATTTATGAAAGTTTGTAGTGATTTCAAAATAGTATTAATAAAAAAATCATATTGTTCTGAATTTAGCATACGAATTAGCGCGTGGATTTAGAACATCATATGTATATGCGTCAATAGTTTCTATCGTGGTTTGTTATTTTTGTTTTGACGTTGCTTTTTTAATTTAATGCCAAGCTTTTAAAAGTAATCCAAAAACAACTTTTTTTCCTTTAGAATTGACAATCGCTCGTCTGTATTCAGTTTCGAGCACATAACATAGAAAAAGCTCACATAGATTATAATTTAAAGTGGTGTACATTATATATGTTTTATATACTGTATGCCAAACTGAAAGAAATTGACGCGTTTTTCGCGATTTCACATCAGCAGAAGCAGGAACACAAACTAGATGCTATTGTATAGATATAATATGTATTATAAAGTTGCAGAATGAAGATTCGGCTAATTCTCATGAGAAAACTGAGATATAACGATAAAATTTCTTTTAAAAGAAAAACGATTTTCACAAAAAGTTATTGATAACAATCTCATGGAACCAATATTCAGATTTAGGTTCGAATTAAGCAATGAATAAATTTTTGACCGGCCCAGTATCTGAATTCAAGTTAATAGATAAATAGATAATAAACAATACAAAGTTTTCACATCAATTTCTTGTAATGAATATTGAAAAATTTCGCTTTCTAAGTACAGGTTTGCGATACAAAATGAGGAAGAAAACATGATATTAGAGCTTGTGAAAGTGAAATCATTGGCGATCTGTAAAGGATTCAAGAAATATAAATTGGGTGGGGAAACGTTGCAACTAATACAGATAAGGAAAAAGGTTTGGACGCCAAATTGGAACAACCATAAAGCTCATCTTATAATTCTAACAACAAATAATTATCTGCTCTTTCAAGTACTATCAAGTATCACAAAGGTTAGCGTTAGTAATTTCCCAACGAGATGCTCACGCTCAGATTACTGACAAATAAAAATCGTAATTTACCATACAGTTCCTATTTTCATATTAACTAAAAATACGTAAGCATTTCCTAATAAGTCAACTTTGAGATAAAATACTTTTTAACCAGAACCAACCCGCTTGCTATTGTTATCCTAGTTATCAAACTCGAAGCCAGTGTTCAATCATACTACCGTTAAGGTTGAAATAAATTTTGCTTTATTTCTTTCATGTTACTCAGTATAAAGCAACTTGGTTTTTTTTTGCTCAATAGAATATGAATTACAATTATGTTTACGTTTGGTAATTTGTAACATTATTTGTGTAAAACAGCGATAGTTCGTATATAATTTGTATATACGTAATGTTAATGTTTTTGATCATTAGCTAGTAGAGACAAAGCAAATTTATGAAGCTCAAATGAAAAACAACAAGCCGTAATTAGGCACTCCTATAACAAAAAAAGGGATGTTTAAATTCAGAACAGCACAGTAATTATCAGTGGTTAATACCTTTTCTTGGTGGAGATAGAGATATGATAAAAAATGTTTTTAATTATGTGAAAACCACAGTAAGAAGAATTCTTTTGGTTCAATAGGTACACCTCAAGTACATGTTGTCTTACAAGATGCAATCGAGCTCAAAGTTGCTAGTTCTTAGAAAAATTTGTTACAATTGTAAATTAGATTATTGAATTTTCGTAATAATTAACGTAACCTTAATATTTAATTATATTAGCGAACAAATAATTCAAAAGGGATCCATTCGAAATATTTTTAATTCTTTTATTAAACTGTCGATATCTTTATTTTTCGCCAGACTCAGTCTTATAAATTCGGAGCAGTACTTTTCTGACAAAGGGTGCAGTTACCACAATCATGAGTATTCAAAGCTATTTTAGATTTGATCTTTTTCTAAAAATGGGATGAAGTCAATAGAGAAAAGGGACAAATATATTAGAGTAACTTTGGAATTTGAGGTCAGCGCCCGGTCGAAGAGGTGTGTTGCTGTTATCTAAGAATACGATTCTTTGATTTTTGACATCTTTTAACTCTTCGAACTCGTCCCTGAGAATACCCTTGAAATCGCCCAAGTCTGCGACCTGAGATATGTCAGCTTTCAACTTTACAGGATTCGATTCACCCTCAAGATGAATCCACATTTTAATTATGGACTTTGAGAAACTTGGGCAAGAACTTGAACGTTTGTTTGGGGATTCTATAAACTTTGTAAGCTCGCTTTTACCTTCGTTGAACATCTTTTTTTTTTCAACTGCGGATAATACCAATTTAGATTAGTTCGAATAATCAGAAATTATTACTTACTAAGCAATTGACTACGACTTATATTTATTGCGCAATCGCAAAAATTGTGAATTTTATAAAGTTGACACTTTTTTGGTTTTTTCAAATTTGCTGGCAGGTACATATATAATACTATTACGTCTTAACTAAATTTGAACCGCAATTGCATCTTATGGCGAATACCATCTATATTTGCGATTGTAAATCAGCAGACATATTAATACTTTATTATTAACATTTATTGCAGAACAAATTTCACTTGGACTAATATATTAATACTAGCTCTAATCTCTGAGTTATCAACCCTCTTATAAATCAACAAAAATGCCTAGTTTCATCATGTTAATAATAGAAAGTGTTGATTATATCTTATAAAAATCAACTTCAATTGGCACTCTGAGTATAGTGATCCTTAATATATAAATAGTTAAATTTTGAGTATCCCAAGTTTTTTTACCCAATAAAAAAAAGAGTACTCGGAGTGAGAAATTTACCCCCTCTAAGTGTTATTGAAATGTTCTAAAAAGGTATCCGGAGTGAGCAAAAAATCCGTTTACAGTCCAATAATTAAAAATCATTGTTATTGGAGCGCAGAGTTACCAATGGACAGTTTTGATAATGAATTTTCGGGCATAAGCCATTGAACAAATTAAAATGGAAATTTTCTAGTAGCACTAAATAAATGAATGTAAAAACAATTTTTATTTATATTTGAAAGCCTAATATCGATGTCAAAAAAAATCGTTAGATTAAAATGTGTGATCTACATTTATATTGATAAAAATGCTGCGGCACAAATATACCCGAGTTACTTGTTCAAGTGAGTTACTCGGTTGCATTTTTTTTTGACCGGGCTGGATCTCTATTCTTTCACAGACTCTTGCAGAATACACGTATACTTGTACCAAATAAGTCAGAGGAAATTAGAAATGCTGCCATTCGACTACAAAAATCGGGTTTAAAGCAAATATTTTTAGCTATTGTCGTCAGATGTGAAAAAGGGTACATACTTCTATGACTACGGCAGGGAGACAACCTGCTTTACGGTAGATCCGTCATGCACAAGTTAACCTTTCTTGTAGAAGCAGGGCTTTTCGTTTAAGTCCCGAGAAAGGGTACGACCACGGCAGAGGAATCAACCTGCGTTATGGTGGATCCGTCGTGACCTGCCCGCCAGTTTCTACTATATCTTTAGGATCACAGAAAGGTACACTGCTTGGAAGAAAGTATCCGCATAATAAAAAATATCATTTTGTAGCTTAGGTTCTAATTAATATATTTTGATCTATACTACATGAACAAAAATAGTGCAAACCTAAAGAATATTCATACAAACTTTCAGTGTTCTTTGTGTGTTGGTTGTGTGTGTTATTCCGCTGCAGTCTTACGGATCTCTATTTAAAAATTTAACTTTATTTGTTAGATTGTTCATTTACGCCTTGGCTTCAACAAAAATTATGTTTTCAGTGCCGTTTTGCCGTAATCGAGAGCTAATTCGTCAATAATTATTTCCATTGGAATAACATCATGACTGTGGTCCGGATACCGAACGCCAGATTTGTCGTTGTGTGATTATATTACTATAATGTTATTCCGACCTAAGTATTCGTCGTCTGAATCAATAGTTTGTGAAATCCGCATTTTTTATGGAAAATAATACGTAAATAATGATCATTGCTTCCACCTGTTACAATTTCGTACCATACCAAACTATAAATATCCGTAGCTTTAGTGTATAGCTTTCCAGTTAGTACCTCGGGACTTATATAAGGAAGCACCGTAAATTTCTTGATTAGATTTGCTGGACCGGTCAAGCAATCTCGTGCAATAATATCGTGAATTTCACGCAGTTCTTTAACAATATCAAATAAATTTTGTGATTTTCCGCCCCAATTCATTCCATTTTCTTCCGTCACCGATCTTTGTAATGCTGAAAGAACAATTTAATGATACACTATTATCGTTAATATGAGACAACAGTATACATGTAGTTTATTATTTTTGAGAAACGCACTCTGAACTAGTTGAGGAGGATTGCGAGTTTTGTTGCGGGATAAAATAGATCCGGACGATGAAATGGTACATTTACATGATTATGAAATATTGTGTAATACGTAGTAGATTCACTTACTCTTTTGGCTTCGAGTTTAGGATTTAATAATTATAATATGAATTAAAAAAAAAAACTATCTTGTCTGCATATATCATATAACAATGATCTCCTTTTTCCCTTTTATCTTATTAATAAGCATTTCTTACAAATTACCACGCAATCACTTTTTTTGAAATATGTTTAAGAAAAGATACATGAATGCAGAAATAAATGCGAGGGCTGAAACTAACGAACTAAAGTATCTCAACGTTAATAGATTAATGCAAGAAAAAGATACTAAACTAAAGATAAGGCATACTATACTAAAAGCGTAAGCCTAATAAAGAAAAGAAAAAGTTTTAATGTTATCTTTTCCCTTCGCTGTTTCTTGAACCTCTCATCCGCATGTCTCTGTTGCATTTGTGGTATGCGTCAATCAACTTCTTCGCAGTTGTTTGTATCGACACCCGTGTACTTGGAAGTAGCATATAGTGGAGCATGCTGTTGTCTTTTCAATTCCATTCTCAAGTTTTTAACCGCATTGAACAAACCAGCGTTACATTGGAGTAACTTCTGGTTTTCTTGGTCTTTTCCAATTAACTGTAACTTTAATTGTTTGATTTGTATTTTAAGCTCTTTCATTTCATTACGAAGCAACTCGAATTCATTATTTGAAGAAGTAGTAGTGTTTTTCTTTCGCATGTCCCTTGAATTTTGGCTCATTATTGATTTATTAGGGTATGTGTATTTGCTAGAGAAATTTTTCAATGCTTTATTTTACGTTAAAAGAATTTGCAATGACTAAGTAGTAATGTTGATATATACAGCCTGATGACGGATTGTGCTTGATTTGTTTATATCATTATATTAATCACAAGTCGAATTGATAGCAACAATAATAACTATTTCCTGACTCAAATGATGAAATGAATATTAATTATTTCGTGAGAATTTGCTTGCAAACAAGTGATCGGCAGAGCGAAATTTCAAATGTTCATATATTGTTTTGGAGCTCGTATATATTTCCTTGTTCAAGCAAAAAATTGCTTTCTGCTCTGGTGAATAGATACTCTAACGAATAAATACTCAAGTGAATAGACAGAGTTCTTATCCACTACTCTAATAATGAAAACACGTCTAAACTTAATTTTTTTCAAGCAAATTGAAATATATAAATACTCCCTCTCTATTCTTATCCTTTTTCTTTATTCTTTTACTTTTCTTATTTTTTTTAATTTACATAAACAATTCAAAACGAAAGTAACAATGCGTCCAATCCGCTTATTCTAATATTTTATCAAGGTAAGGTTTTTACATGTTTTCAATTTTGCGCATTCAAGTTTCATGTCTTACAACCTCTGAACGATGATTTGTAACCTCTCGTCTGTATTTTTCCCGGGTTCTCTGATAATTTAACCTTACGTTTTTTTTCCTCAGAATAAATTATAATAGGTCAGTTAAAACCACCAAACCGGTTTGGCTCCGAGAAGTGACGCACCTCCTACCACTAGTGACGACGCTACAATTACCTAACATTACGAAGCCTTCGGAAATACCCTTGAATAATTATTATCCCAAAACCTCGATTTAGAAACCCATATTATCATCCATGGTTCCAATACAAAGACTATAATCTACTTGCAGAGAAATGTAGAGTTCTAGCATTTCATTTTAATGATCTTGCAAAAATGCGATATGTAACTAGAAGGAAATCACCACCAAAACCAACATCACCTTCAGCTTTACATTCTAGTGCAGATGCATCAAAACCGCAACCCTTCCAACTTCTAATAATGATCAAAAATCCGGATATCCCACATAATCATCAAAAAGAAGCTGAACCAAGTCGGCAGGCTATGAAAATGCCTCAAAACAACAGCAAGAAGTCCTCTTCTAATAATAACGGAAAGCCAAAAAGAAATTCCGTTGCAATCAATAATCTCGTCGAGTTTGAGCGAGATAGCCTCAAAATTCATAAAGACAAATATCGTAAGCCGCTTTGCTTCTATTTTATTAATGTGATAGTTGATTCACACAATCGATATGACTCACTAATAAAAAATGTTAGTAGATTAATAAATCATTTGCTCTTTTCCACAAATTTTGCTAACGAATTGAAGAAGATATGATATATGAATGTGATAATGTACATAGTAAAGAGAGAAATACAATTTTGGGGTGATAATAAATAAAAATGCCATAATGTACATCCAAATCTATAATAATACTTTTAAATGAAAAAATAAAACCACCTGATATTGTAGAAATAGTAAAAATAACTTTAAGATTAACGTAAAGAAAAACCGAGAAATCCAGCTCGATATTTACAAAAAAAATCCGAAATGAATAAATAAGTAATCTGAGACTTGTGATTCTCTAGTATCTAAAGTTCATTCATAACCGACTGAATCTAGTGTTGACCAACGGCCTCAAAATCGAGGTCATGTGACTCATGGCCGTCATTTGAAAAAACCCCCAACATTGGTTGAATCTGAGATAAGTGGGTTTTGATGTTACGTCGTCACCATATAATCTTAATAATTATCCAGAGTCATGCCTTGGCGGAGGAAACTGCATCGGTACACTTTGCCTGGAATCAATCGGAGATAAACTTCGACGAGATAAACTTCGACGTGACGCCGAAGGTGTTTGTGAAGGCGAACTCGTAGGTCCACCAGATGTGAAGTGGTGATGTGAATAGAAATTTGGATTTTGTTCTTGTGATATAATTGGTGATGGTGCTGTTGTTGTAGGATTTATGAATGGTGAGACACGACCACGTGATGATGAAGGAGTTGAAATTAAACTTGTTTGTGATGTAGAATGTTGACTTTGGTCATATGACGATCTATTTACACTTCTATTACTGGTATATAAAGGTTTAGGTGGGCTCAAAGTCGTATCTGATGCGAGGTATCTCACAGGATGATGAGGAGACCCATTTCCTTGCTGCTGTTGATTTCCTTGCTGCTGTTGATTATTTCGTTCATTGGCAGCAATCATAGTTCTACTAGAAGTCTCACTAATACTACTACGAAACGGAACCTTTTTCAGTGTCATACACTTTCGTTCACGCTCCCAATCCTCCCATTTTTTCATCACGAGCATAGACGTATCAAATACTCCGGCTTTTTTGCCATGGTCGTCACCTCCATCGTCACCAGATACTTTACGCGTTTCTCCCCATGAAAAGTCATCAAAATGCCAGTATGCGTATACGGGTAGAACAAAATTCCAGATCGGAAGGGCTAACAAATAGACTATATTTGTTTTTCTAATTAGTAAACCAATCAATAACGATAGAATTTTATGATAATAGAATAATGAAGATTATGTACCAATCATCCACAGGACATATACCACTTTTCGCGTTGTAATAACAATTAATACTCCGGGTAATCCCAAAACCGCGGCTAATAGCAGCAATGGAATAAATTCTGGATCTTTAGTGAGAATAGTCACTAATATTAAGAGAATTGTGAAACTGTTGTGACAATAAAAAAAAGAGAATGGTTAACTCGTATACTAAATTATATTAAGAATACAAAATAAAAGACAAATACATACCAAAGAGCAGCCGGCAACACGACGGTTCCAATCAACTCCAGCATCACCATAAATTGCATCGACAAACAGGCAATCCCACAAAGATCACTAACCAACACCAACTCCAACAAATTATGCACCGTAGAATTAATCCACCGACGACGCTGCGACAACAGTACCCAAAACTCATCCGGCACAATTGTATGACACATTGCCTCTGGGACAAACATCATCTTACGTTTCGGAAACGATCGAAGCATCAGTGTACTCAGATATCGATCTTCTCCGAGTAGCAGCAGATTTTTGGAATGCAATGTTGTGACGATGTTTTGTTGATATTCCGAGACCACGTCTTGATTACTCAAAATTGGAACCCATTGGCCGTCTTTAGGTGCTTTTAAGCGGTACATGCAGAAACATCCAGGCAAACAGGTTACACCCCCAAATACCGATTCAAATGCTTTACCCAGATGATGGGAGATGAAGTATTCGAATACTTGAATTGCTGATACCCATGATGATGTCTTGTTGGCTATACGTGTTTCGCCACATAGTCCCATAATCATTGGATCTGTTTTCATTGCAGAGACCATGTAAGTGAGTGAAGTGGGTGATACTTTGGTATCTGCATCAACCTAAAAATGAAGAATTTATTAACTAACGATAAATAATTGCGCAATCGAAAATATCAAATACACTACCATCAATACTAGTTCGAATTTGTCAGCAGTCACTCCCATCAAATAATAAATCTTCCAAAACAATTCATAATCCAATTCGGTGAAACGATCGTTCCAATAGACATGTTGAAAGAAACTCATCAGGATTACCTATAATATTATTGGCGAGCGAAATTAAAATTAAATGAAAACAAACAATCAAATTATCCTCGAACGTGATAACAACATACTTGTGAATCTCGTTTTCCACGATTACCAGGTTTAGCAGCTGCTGCTTCCTTTTCATTTCCAATTTTGATGATTAGAATAACGGGAATCCTATGACTTTCATGTGTATAATGTCCTGCGTACTATATATCAAATTATACGATAAGCGAATGTCTGCTACTAAGTTTATATACATAAACGAAAAAAGAAACTTACCACTTTTGCCAAATTGAATTGTTTCTCGCCATCTGCAATAGCAATATATGAACATGGTTCTGGTTCAGGTATGTCTGGTGGTAATTCAATAAGATCCAAACAAATATCAGGTGTTGATTTGTCGTTTCCTTCTCCTTTGATTATTCCATCAGCAATTACACAAAACAACTAATATAATATAATAAATTAATTGAATATTAATTATTCATATATAAATAAAAAGAGTAACAAAAATAATACCTTATGTCTATCACTATAATCAGTAGAAGCCAAACTACTCAAAGTCGTACGCAGGCCACTTTCTCCCTCAGAATAACACGTGACCAACATAACCGTATACAATGGATCACCTTTCACCTGCAACAACCCATTCTTTGTCTTTACCACTTTAGTGAGCTTACTCGACATGCACCAACTAAACACGATTGCCATAAAAAATCGCGTCACTATCACCGTCAAAATCACCACCAACGAGACAAGCATGATTATGTTTGTGGCGAAACAACCGATCGTTTGGGTGGATAACACGCCGGCCGCGTATCTTTTCTCGATGCATTTCATGGCGTTTTGGAACTTTGGACGAGAATATAACAGTTGTGTCGCGTCTTTTGCGATAACTTTTGAGAGCGCTCGGTGTACGTCCTCACCAAAATATGGATTATTATCGGTTGCGTATTTGGTGATGTTTATTACTTTATATTTGATAAGAAGTGGAGAGATTGATTGATTAATTTATTTATTTATTTAACTAATTTAAGAAAGAATAAAGGAATAATTACCAGCGTTATTATACACAATCAAAAAAGGGCGTGGATTTATATTATTAGGAAGAATATCAAACCATTCATATGCCAAACTATTCGGATTCCCGCCTGCCGGTGCTGGCAAACAATTACCATCAGAAGTCTGCAAGAAAATACCCGGAGAAAATGGATTCTCTACTCTACACGGTGCAGTCTTATTAGTAAGAGAGACATCATATCGATTACATAAGGTACCCGCATTGTTGAATAATTGACTCAGATCGGCTCCTTTGTAATCATTATTCAAGTCGATCTGTCGCTGTTTTAAATAGGTTTGAACTATATTGAATTTATAGATTTTTCCATAGATTATCACGTCATCTCGATAAACTTTTTCGAGGGAATTGTCGGGTCGTCGGGTAGAGTACGCGGAACGTGATGATAACGTATTCTCGGGACATAGGGCTGGGCGTAGACCAAATGTTAATATTGCCAATAGGAGACAAATAAATGCAATAATCGCACATAGAGTAACCTATAATAAGAAAATAAAACCAATTAATCATTACTCTAAATCTTTAAGTGAAATATGAAACAAATTCTACCTTTTCTCGCCAAGCCTGTTGTACTAAAGGATCACGCAACCCGCATTTTGACAGGATAAAAGAAGGTGACCAGAAAGTAATAACTTTGGCAAAAAAAGGCCAAAAATGAAAATTTGCCAACAGGTCTTTTTTCTCTTTTTTTTTGTTATTGTTGCCACCACCAACGCTTCCATATCTCGATAATCTTCTTTGTTGTGGTGAAATAGGTTGATATTGAGGTGGATGATGGGGATCGGATACTCCGCTTTGATGATTATTTATCATTGTAGGTCGTGGTCGATATCTTTCTGGTCTGGTCATAGATCGATTACGATTTAAATCACTCCATCCTCCTGTTCTCCCATAGGATTGTGGATGCTGTGGATCTAGTACAAATCTTGCTTGTGGTGATTGTGGTGACCGCGGTGATTGTGGTGGTGGTGATTGTGACTGAATATCATTACCATTACCATTACTATTGTAATAATAATCACCATTATTGTAGGAATATTGTTGTGTTTGATGTTGTGTTGGTGAAAATGGATGAGGTTGATTTTGTTGTGGATAAGGAGATCCTCCATATTGAGCCCTCGATTCATCAGCTCCATTACCTGGCCTATTATTATGATGCTGATGATGTCTATTATTATTACTTGGATTTGACATTGTTGCTCTATATAATTTTACTTGTCCAAATTAAATAAATATCGATATATATTGCGCACTCGAAAATCTTCTTTCGCTTCCTGCGCGAACTATTATTATTATTATTACTATTATTATTATTATTATTAATATTATTATTAATATTAATAAAAATAATATTATTATTAACTACTCCTATTACTATTATTATGATTACTCCTACTATTATTATTATTATTATGATTACTATTACTACTATTATTGCTATCACTATCACTATTATTAGTATTAGTATTAGTATTAATATTAGTATTAGTATTAGTATTTTGTAATTGGTCTTTTAATAGTTATAATTATGATTTGGAGTGACCAAAGAGATTGTTCATTAACCAAAGACCTAAATTAATGGTAATTGTTGGTGTCGTTATCAAGTTGAATCAAAAAAGGGAAAAAGCGAAAATAATGTCTTTTTTTTCGAGAATAAAAATCATTTGTTCTAGAATAACGCTTATGGTATAGGTTGGAATATAATGAAAGTACGCTTTTTTGGTTCCGAATTATCTACTTTATTTTGTTGTATGCGTTGGTATTATGCAGTAATATATATCTACAATACATACATACAGTGATATGAATTCAACGAGAGAAACAGCACCAACAAATAGAACTCCCTTTATCTAAAAGCGAATTATTTAGAAATTGGGATTGAGTGGATGCGGCAGTTTTATTTAATAGTTCGAATGGTAGTCGCAGGTACGTATGTATAATGATGTCCGTAGTATATCATTAAATTTTTAAGATCAAAAATGGGCATTCACGTTTAATTTGCTCCTACACTTTCAAAACCAAATAATTCATGATACATGTGCATATGTATAAATATAAATCTGTGCACATGCATATCAATAACGTATGTAACCCAAATTCAATTTATATTGTATATTAAATGCTGTCGGCGCTCTGATTTATACATACATTCTATCCGTCAACTCCCTTAGTTAATTAGGTAAGTTTTCCATTTTCATGTCCCATCGTTTCATTTTAACCAAATTACGTATTGTCTATTAACACAGAAAAAACGTGACTCATTGCATCTTACTACATTATTTGAAACGATTATTTTGTAATAATAACGTTACTTGCATGTAAATGTTATGTATAATACATGTCGTAATGAATACCAAATATTAAAAAAGTATTTTTGATTCCTACTACCAAATATAACCAAAATAAATGTGTAACTTTAGACAAAAGAATTTAACGTACACAAATAAACATTGATCGGTATTTTGATTGATAAGATTACTATTTCAAATTTTATTTGATTTCACCATCCGATACTGTGCAATAGCTCGTTCTCGCTCTACCGAAAGAATACGTTTGATTGCTGGATTTTTATTCTTTGAATCTTTTTTGTTATTTTTTGGATGTTTGTTGCTGTCAAATCCATCATTATTAATTTTTTTCATCAACTACACAAGAAAAGAAATTAACTAAATAAAACTCATCCATAAAATGCCAAGAAAAAGAGAAATAATTAATTACTTCAGCGGATCCTCGTTGTTTTGGAATAGCAGTAATCGATGGAGGAGCTTTAACCACTTCTCCAAATTTTACATGATCTTGGAATGAATCGAAATCTTTAACCCCTGATTCTTTTAACAGCTTCATTTCTTTTGCTTTTCGTTTTTGTTTTAATTTTTCTAGAGATCTGTTTATGATTTTTATCAATAATAAGATAAGTTCATAACGCTTATTTAAATAAAAAAAAATAACAAACCTTTTCTTTTTGATTTTTGTTGATGTTCCTTCTTTTATTGATTTCAGAATATCAGAACGCATTTTGCCACCAATCCGTCTAATAAAAAAAATCGATTAATAAATTGTATATTCTCATCTTGTAAACACTGTGAATACCTGCTAGAATAAGCAAATGTTTCATTGTTTAATCTTTGTAACGACGGTGGATGTTGCTTTGATTTCTAAGAATCAACTAAACATATATATAAATTATGATCCTAATAAATCAATTTGTTTATAAAATTACCCGTTTATCAATAGTAGATGATGAGGATGATCTTTTCTCTCCAAATTTTTCCTCGCGAATTTCTTTTGCACGTAAAATCCGTGAAAATCCGCGTGGAGTGTCTGGTAACTTATCCAAGTCTGGGGATTCGTTGTAACTATTAATTAAATAAATAACTAATTAATTAATATATTACTAATCCATGGCGATATGAGATTTTCGATTCAAGAGATTTACCTTAATGTTTGATTAACGATATTATTACGCTCGGATCGTTTTTTGCGTTTATGAGGCATCTTTTTAACATTTGAATGATAGACATCATCCGATATGATATAATTTTGGGAATATAAAACTTTGTCACGTGACACGTGACATAAAATATTAATGTGATGAAAATAAGATTTTCGTTTTCGGCTTGTGGTTAACCGCGGCACCAAATCAATGACAATGGTCTTTTTCGAAATTTCCGATAAGCAGATTATTCGTGCATTTTATCAGGAGATTTAAGGTTTAGTACATTCATTCACCCAATGATCATTCATAAAACCTTTGGGTTCATTACGACGACGATCATGGTGGAACACTTTCCTGGTTTTAGATTAGTGTTACTACCACTACGTATAATTTTCATACATCTGAAACAAACAGCCATAATGGTGTAGGAATAATCTTTCTCCAGGATAGGCATGTAAACAATGCACATGCTAATTTTTCTCAGAGATTAACTCAGTCTCAAAGGACTGTTTCACAATACTAGAAATTCCCTGGCTTTTGCCAATATTTCACTTTGATAATATCCAGGTATATTAATGCATTTTTGAATATTTTTAGCATTCTAATTCATGATTACTCGAGCATGCTATTATATTTATGCTCGATATGGTTAGAGAATATCGGTTTCGAAGTCACGGATTTTATTTTTCCGATGCACACAGTTAAAAGACAAAGCCCACATAAACTTTATTTTCAATAATACAAGGCACCTTGGCCATTGTTAAGACTAATACATAAAAAGTTACTGTCTTAAAATATAGCATTTAATTCCGAATTCAAGCTCTGCTTCGTACAGCAGAAAAATTCCTGTTATCTGTTATCAGTGATCTCGATTATTTATGACTTTTCGAGGTCCACCACGGTTCATGAATATGCTTGGATTACAATGAGTAGGTTTGCTCGTATCGAGATTGTCATCATTAAAAACATCGTCAAATTCATGACGAGTTGTTTCTCGGGTTTCCATATCCTGCGCAAACTGTTAAAACGGATTAGAGATGCAAATCTCTGATGATAAACATAAGCTTACCATGACTGGGCAACTCGAAATTTGGTCCAGTGAAGACAATGTAGAAGCTCTCAACCAAATCCTCAACATTTGTCCACTTGTGCCAGCAAACTGTAAAAAGGCACTTTGATGTTCTTAACTTGTTCATCGTTCAGGTTGTGCTAGAAAACCATTTAAAATCGCTTGATTGATTCGAGCGGAACGGTAACGGTCACCAATGGCCTTGGATGCTATAGCCTCTGCCGCAAACTCCACTCTCCAACATCAACTCCCGACACCAACAAGAAGCGTGGTCTTTGTTATAGTCTGTACTCCTACTCAACAGGCAAAATGACTCACCCCTTGAATACATAAATTATAACTTGTGAGAATGGATATGTTAACTAGGTCACATAACCATCTTGGATATATTTTGATGCCCTTGTTCAGTCCCTCGACGATATACGCACAAGCTTTTAAAATTACATCAAGTTCTGTGTGTGTATTGTTCGCAGTGTAATCCAAGATATCCGTTTGGTCCTTGCTTTTGTAAATGCTGTACACATTGAATAATAAGAATAAGAATTGGAATCACAAAAAAATAAAAAGAATAAAACATTAGACAGTAAACCAAATCACTCACAAATCACCATATAGCTTGCTGATTTTGTATATGTAGCTGTTTTCTTCGGAGATAGTATGCTTTTTCGTTCAGAGCTTATGTGTCTGATCTACTTTCCCTTTACGTACCATCTACAAGAATAATGAATCTGTATGTGTGCCTATATAAATTCAAGAAAAATAAGACTCATACATCCTCAACATTCAAAACAAATGAGTTTCTCCTCGCCTGTCAGTTCGGGAACTCGCAATATAGTCTCGCAATTTTTCATCAGACTTCCTATCTTCGACAGAAAACCATCCCTTCATGTGTGCGGATAAGTCGATGATCTGTGATGCTCCATAGCGCAATATAGTTTATCAACAGCAGTTAATTTCTTACGTTTGCGTATTCAGCTATTTCTTTAGCATAGATTTCGCAAACGTTCTGACTCGAAGGCAAAATCCAATTTTTTTGAGCTGCCAAGGTCACAAGTAAGCAAGTCTTCTTCGTCTTCGTTATTATCATCGTTATCCTCTTGGGAGGAATCATCATCCTTCTCCTCAAAGAACGGAAGTTCTACTGGCGAATGTTTAATGTTGGGCTGCGCGGCAACGGCGTAGTATATCCACCCCGGTACTGCTTTTTTAATTTTTTGATTACAGTTGACTTGTCCTGGATATCTTGCGAATCTAACGGTCTCTTTCCACCTGATCTTCTGCGTCTGTATCACTCTGCAGTAATCAAGGGAATAATTTTTAAAAAGAAAACTTTACAACCAGAGGCATCAAATGACCTTAACATTATTGTTGCTTATGCTTAACATCTCAGTCTCCATTTGATTTGTCTCCTTGAAAATTTATAAATAAACAATTAAGTAATATTCAGCTTGTTAAAAAAAGTCCTGTTCTTTCATTGATGTAAGTAGAGCTCCTATCGAACCAAACTGAACCGAACTTTTTTAGTTGGTTCAGATTCGGTTCGAGGTTCAGTTCGAAGTTCATGAGCATGTTCGGGTTCGATAGAGTTGGTGTTTATGACGTAAAAATACTGTGATTATAAGCAAAAACAACAAATATTATTTCAAAACAATATTTAGTATACCAAGACCTATCTAAATCATCTAATTGATCAAGTATTTCTAAATTTCAATGAATCAAATTTATGACGTAGTTATTAAATTGCGTGTTATTGCCAGATCATAATAAAATCTATGACACATAGTTACTCTCAACGGTCCCTGTGTCCATGACCGAAAACACTGTGCTGCTCTTACGGTCTTAGGCACTAAGCTAGACCTCTTATTCGTGATCGTGTTTCCACCCGCAGAGAAGGCACGTTCGGAAGCAACGGAGGATGCCGGAATTGCCAGGTAGTCGCGAGCCATATGTGCAAGGTGAGGAAACTGCGTTTGGTGTGCCTAAATATTATGTTACTCAATCCCATTCTATTATTTTTAATAGGCAATATATTATCGCTTACCTTCCACCACGCTAGCACATTGATTTCTTTATTGGCCGGCTTCTCAGATATAGCGTTCGAATTCATCAAGACCTTCATCCTCATCATCAAAGTCTGTGTCATGTAACTGACCTCATGGTATTGTTAAGGCTGGTGTCCGATAAGAAACTTGTTATTAGGCGTAGGAGTGGTGGCTAGTTTGTTATATAAGAGTTGGAAAATGAAATAACCTATTTTTCTTGTTCCATCAATCTCGCCATCCGGAAATGCTCCTTTGTGAAATAGTGTAACTTTCTCTTTGGACCTAATGCGGTACATAACATCACAGTTGTATTTATTTTAGAATAGTACTGAACTAACTTTTCTCTTGCTGCTGTAGCCGCCGTGACAAGTGGTGGAACTAATAATTAAATTCGTAAATTAGTAAATACAATCGAATTCACCTAATAATTTTACCAAGCCCATTCTCTATCTCTACCTCTGTGTCTGAAATCGCATCTTCGACATGATCAATAATGATGTTGAAGAGGGAATAATCCAGAAGGTGCACTATTCAAACTAGCCGACATTTTGACCGTGAGATCCTTAAATGGTTCAAGGAATTCGGCTACTTTCTCCAAGACAGCCCATTGGTTGGAATAGCCAGTATAATCTCTAACAAATCAGAACCTATGCTAGTATTCTATTACAAACTATGTTCGAACTTGAACCGGACTCATGATGTTCGGGTCCGGGCATTGCAAGTTCGAGTTCGGGTTCAGATTCGAAAAATCGACAAAATCTCTGTTCGAATTCAGCTCGGGTTCGAACCGAATCGAATCTAGGAGCCCTAGATGCAAGTGATTCTACTGCATATTTACCAATTCCTTTGTTAGTCTTGTATCTGGGGCAATTTCCATTTTATCATTTAAGGTTTCAATCTTTATCGTTTCTTTGTATAAAAGTTTTCACGACTCAAACTCATCCTGAAAAAATCACACTTTTTAATCCTATGTGTTCTTGTTAATTTCATGCAAACCACTGAATTGCCTTCTTTTTATCGTCTGAATCCAATTCTGAATTTCAGGTCTTTAATCGTCTTGTCGAATAGATGACAAGAGCTTTTTGCGAGCTAAATTGTTTGGTTGATCACAGATTGATTGGAGCTGCTTCTTCGTATACTCAAAATTGATTTTATATCTTCAGCATGTCTTGATATGTAATTGAGACAGGCGAAGACCAACCATTCTGAGTATAGTTTCGTCTCAAAGATGATCTCCAAGTACAGAAAACAGAACGATTAGTAGTAGTCAAACTTGTGTGTTCAAAAGAGATAGTTCAGTGATGCATCGACATGATATTCTAGTCAAGAGTTCCTTAGCACGCTACGCAGGAGGAATACAAGAAGTGCTGGAACGTCCTGTGAGATGTCTAAGAAGTCTCCTTCCAAGCATCAACGCACTAGTGCTTTAATGAATAATAGCGACGCCTACTAACCTTGTTTGTTACTTAGGTATGATAACGATAATTTTTTTGCGGGTGATTGCACGTGGTAATTGCTGAATCGGCACCAATTACATGTATTTGGGGAAGAGATATCCCCTTCTGATTTAATAATATTTTAGCCAATCAAATAGACTTGTAATTCTAATAGACACCCCCTCAAAATCACCTGATAAATGGCTTTCCTTGGTGAAAATTGTCAAAATATGAAATTATTACTATAATATTTAATTATCATTTTATTAATTATTATTACTAATCATTATATTAGCTTACAAACTTAAATCTGGATTGAAAGAGAAAATTAAATAAATAAAGTATTGTTACCATTTTAAGTTTTGTCATAAGAGAAATATGTGAATAATATGTATTATCAAAACAAGTAGGAAAGTTTATAAGATATAACTTCAAGTGAAAGAGAGAATATAAATATTTAAAGATAGGTAATATATGTTTATTTGTTAATTAGCTAAAAATATTCAAAGATAATTATATTTTTTTAATAATTGGTTTATAAACAAGTTGAATATGATTTTTTATTAATTTAATTATATATTATTGACTTTGCTAATATAGATAAGAGATCAATCTTAAATATTATAAGAAATATAACTTTGCTAATATAGATGAAAGATTACATTAGGTAACATCAAAGAATGCAGTTCTGTATAGATCTTTGGATCTGAAATCTTTGAACCTGGCAGTGATCTGTAAAGAAAAAAATAAAAATTCTGTGCAAATTTGCAATAATACGCAGGTCTATGCAGAATTTTTATTTTTTTAAAAAAATTCTGCATAGAACTTTGTAATGATATTTATAACAGTACTTTGTAATAATATTTATAATAATACTTTGTAATAGCATTATTCAATTTCATAGAACAGTAAAATTTGACATTTAAAGAGTAGTAAATATAGTTTATTGTAGATATTGATAATAAAAATGATAAAAAATTACATAAATATCTATATATATATGCAGTCTAAATCAGTAATCTTTTTTTAAAAAGATAATTCTTTATCAGATTTTAAAGAAAAAAATTACAAAGAATATTATATTAAAGGAACTTACAAAATTAGCATAATTATTATAATTATCATCTTTGTTACCATCATTATCTTTGATCATAATCATCTCATCACCTCCTTTATCTTCAATGACTTTCTTGTATAACTTTTGATACTTTTTTCAGGTCACTTCCTCCTCTTCTTCGATCTCTTTTTTCACTATATTTTCTATTATTATCTGAATTGCTGGCTCATTACTTTTAATTGATCTCTGAATAACAAATATTTATAAAGAATTTTCAATCAAATTTCAAATAAAATTATAAGAATTATTTATTATAAAGGCATGTACGCATCTAACTACCAATTTGTCTTTGCACTTTATGTCAGGGCTGGCTGAATTCAGAAGAATATTGCTAATTGCTAATACAAACATGCAATAAATGACTGATAGTGTTTTCCTTTTATATTATTTAAAGATTATATAATCAATTTTTAATAGTATTTGATCATTTTTGAAGAGTTTATTATATACATCTTATATCTTATTATTTTATTTTCATTTTGCTAGATGAATAAAGATAGTATTATTATCAATTTTTGCTAATTTTTCTTCATCAAAAATTGAAAATACTGCATTTCAAATAGCAGCAACATAATCATTGTGTTTACTGCAGTATTTATCTTTATCTAAACAAAAAAAAGTTAAAAGCTGCAAAAATAAAATTTACAATTACAACAAATTTGATGAAGAATTTTTTTGTGAACAATGATATTGTTATGATATGACTTTACATATCATAATTTTATTAATTATTTAATTCTATCATTTTATTGGTTATATTTATCATATGATTTATCTTCTATTTCTTTAATTTTATTGATTTATTATTTTTAGAAACATTAAGTTTTACATTTTAATTATTTAATACTTATATTAATACTTTAATATAATATATTCCAAATATCAGAATTAATACTTAGTTTAATACTCGTATCAATATCCTTCTAATGTAGCACATTTTAATTACCTGTTCTTATTTGATTTTGATATTCGGATTAATACTTAATACTGAGATTAATACTTAGATTAATACTTGGATTGATAATTGTATTATCAGTTTAATGAAATAAAATAATATAAATCGAGTAATGAATAATTTATATAAATATAACATGTATCTTAGCTTAAAAAAAATATCAATCTATTTATCTTAATCATCTTATCATATCTTAGTCTTCTTACAAGTAAATAATCTTTTGATTATAATTTTCTCTTGACAAAATCTTCTTAGAAGTGAGTCATATTATAAGTCTTGAGTT